GAGCCGGCCCCGAGCCCCGGCGGGACGCGGCGGGAAGGCCCCGAGCCGGCCCCGAGCCCCGGCGGGACGCGGCGGGAAGGCCCCGAGCCGGCCCCGAGCCCCGGCGGGACGCGGCGGGAAGGCCCCGAGCCGGCCCTGAGTCCCGGCGGGAAGCGGCCAGGCGGATCCGAGCCGACGCAGAGAGCCGAGAGGAAGCGGCGGCGAGGCCCCAAGCCGGGCCTGGGCAGCCACGAGGGGAAGCGGCTGGGAGGCCCCGCGGCCCCTGCCCCGAGCCCGGGCAGGAAGCGGCCTGGCAGTTCCGAACCGGCCTCGGGCCCTGGCGGGAAGCGGCCCAGCAGCTCCGAACCAGCTACGAGCCCCGTTGGGAAGCAGCCAAGCATTTCCAACCCAACCCAGACGCCCAAGAGGCGGCGTCGAGACGGCCCCAAGCGAGCCCCGGTTCCCGCGGGGACGCGCGGGAGCGACGTCGCGGCGGAGGGCGGCGCGCTGGGGCTGCTGCGGCGCCTGGCACGGCTCGAGGACAGCCGGCGGCGCGCGGCCGAGCTCTTCGGCTGGCTGCTGGCGCCCGTGTCGCCGCAGGAGTTCGCGGAGCGGCACTGGGAGCGGGCGCCGCTGCTGGTGCGGCGCGCGCAGCCCGGCTACTACGCGGGGCTCTTCTCCACGGCGGAGCTGGATGCCGCCCTGCGCAGCGGCCGCGTGCACTTCGGCACCCACCTGGACGTGACGAGCTACGCCGAGGGCGTGCGGGAGACGCACAACCCCGCGGGACCGGCCCTGCCCCCCGTCGTGTGGGACTTCTACCAGAACGGGTGCTCCCTGCGGCTCCTCTGCCCCCAGGCCTTCTCCAACACCGTCTGGCAGTTCCTCTCCATCCTGCAGGAGCACTTTGGGAGCATGGCGGGGGCCAACACCTACCTGACGCCGCCGGGCACGCAGGGCTTTGCCCCCCACTACGACGACATCGAGGCCTTCGTGCTGCAGCTGGAGGGCAAGAAGCGCTGGCGCGTGTACGGCCCACGCACGGAGGCCGAGGTGCTGCCCCAGTTCTCCAGCGCCAACCTCACGCAGGCCGAGCTCGGCGAGCCCGTGCTGGAGGTGGTGCTGGAGGCCGGCGACCTGCTCTACTTCCCCCGGGGCTTCATCCACCAGGGCGACTGTCTCCCTGACGCGCACTCGCTCCACATCACGGTGTCGTCCTTCCAGAGGAACTCTTGGGGGGACCTCCTGGAGAAGCTCCTGCCGGCTGCCCTGCAGATGGCCCTGGAGGAGGACGTGGAGTACCGGCAAGGCCTTCCCATGGACTACCTGGGCTACATGGGGGTGGCCCACTCGGACGTGGTCGACGCTCGCCGGACGGCTTTTGTGGAGAAGGTGCAGAGGCTGATACAGAAGCTGGTCAGCTATGCACCCATTGATGCTGCTGTGGATCAGAGGGCCAAGTCGTTCCTTCACGACTGCCTCCCCCCAGCGCTAACGCAAAGCGAGAAGGCGCTGAGTGTCTACGGGTTCCCAGCCCGCTGGCAAGACGGAGGCCCCCGCGACGTCGATATACGGCTAACGAAAGACACGGAGGTACGGCTCCTCCGTCACGGCCTCGTTCGGCTCTGCAATGAGGAAGCCGGGGTGATGCTGTATTACACGACGGAAAACTCACGAGTCTATCATAAAGAAGAGCCCAAGTCCCTTGAGATTGATCCTGAGTATACAGACAGTATCGAATTTCTCCTGTCTTCTTATCCGAACCACGTCAGCGTGGATAGCCTTCCATGTGAAACCTTGGAAGACAAGATTTCTCTAGCTACACTTCTGTTTGAGAAGGGAATTCTGACTACAAAGAAGCCTCTGATACAAGTGTAACTCGATTTTTTAACAAAATAAACACACAGTTGTTTATATAAAGTATTGTCTCCTGTTCTTACCTTGCATCTATTGCTAATTGTGGTACAGTGCTCTGGATCTCAGTTTCTGATCCAAGAGTAGAAGGGTTTTGACCTAGGTAGAAAAATCAAATGTTGTTCTTGTAAAACAAGTGTCTGCTGTTGAACTGAGCATGATTAAGTGACTAGAGAAGGCAGGTGCTCAGTTCTGGTTTTGTTGATCGTATGACTATTACCTAAAGAAGTATTTGATTGTGGTCATCCAAGAGCTGCACTGAAATTTGGGGTGGCAGGGCTGAATTCGAATAGGGCCTTCTCAAACAGTTTGTTTTTCCTTGTGACATGGTTAGGGAAAGGCCGCTGGGATGAAGGGTGGTAAAGGTTTCCATGTGAAGATGAGATTCCCCTTGACTTTCATAATGCTCTTTCAGAGCCTGGCTTTTGTGGCTCTGACTGCACGTGCCTCACATGATTTTGCTGTGCCTGTCTGGGCACTACTGGCTGCTAGTGCCACCTCTCTGAGCGCTGTTTCCTTCTATACTACTGTGGAAAGAGATCCCTCAAAATCTTTGTATTAGAATTACCAGGGGTGGATTGAAAAACAGCAGTGATCCTCTCCAGGATGTCCTCGCATTCAGAATCAATGTCCTCTCTGCTCCAGCCGATGCGGTTGACTTTCTGCCTCAGCCAGTCCATGACATTTTCAAGTTTCTGAAGCTTCTGGGTCACCAAGTCCTTTTGGCTTAGCCTAAAAATCTGAATCGAACACATTGGCAGGTGGGTGTAACACTAGCTGGGTAACTTGAATCCTAAAAATGACACTACAGACCTGAAGGACTTAAAAAAATGGGATGAAAACACTAATAATTTCCCTCCACTCTCAAAAAATGCATATGTCCTCCTGGATGGGAGGTACTGTGACACTATGCCAGACCATTCCTTGGCATGACAGTACCGGATGAACCTCATGTAGTTCCTGGAGAATACAATTTAAAAAAAATAAAAAGACATTTTTAACAGAGCTATTCTCCTTACCTTTTCCTTGATCTCTTTAATCATTTCTTGATCTTCCTCATGGGCAAAATTAAGGATCTTCACAGTTTTTGCCACTTCTCTATGTATAAATGCAATATAATGATGTGTTATTTGCACATGGCAAAGTCTTCAAAATGAAAGAAAAATCCTCAAGAAAATTGCATGCTTCCTGGATCCCCAGGGTAGTACCTTCCTCCCCTCCAGCTTGTGCTGCGTGTCCCTGTACGGGGCTTCTGCAGGGAGGGCTGAGGGAAGTGGCAGTGTGTCCCGGTGTCCCTTTGAGGGATTAGGGGGTGCTCCCGCTTGTGTCACCGCTCAGACCCTGCAAGGTGCAGCTCCCGTGTCGGCCCGGTGGGCACCCTGGTTCATGGGACGCAGGTATCTAGAGCATGGGAGAGGCAGCTCTAAGGGAGCTGAGCAGTTAAGGCTGGGGTCCCTGTACTGGTGCGGGATGGAGCTTGGCTTCAGAAGAACTGAATTGTATAAAAGGGGCTTAAGGGAGAGGGAAACAAAAAGGAAAGTTGAGGGAGATGCAAATGCCTGAAGCATTGGTGGTAAATCAATGCTTGCATATTTTAAATGTGATTGAAGCAATGTGATTTAGGCAGCTTAAACTAGAAGGTGGGATTAACATCCTGTATTAAGAATTTAGGAAGTGTCTAGAGAGAATTGGGACAGTGGGGGATGAAAGAAGAGACCAGGCACTTGCCTCCCGCACCTGTCCCTTCCATAGCGTTCTTGGTGCTCCTGCAGTGGAGCATGCAGACATCTTCCCTATCCTTATCCTGTGATCACTTTTCTAGGGAGCTTGGTTTTGTGGTCAGTTTTGTATGTTGCCCCTTCCCTACTCTACTGTCATCATTCAGTGTTTCTTAGGAAAGAGGCAGCTTTAGGAAGAAACATAAGTGCACGCTATGCACGTACTCTTGCCTCGGATAAGACGAAGGTGAGAAGAGCTTCAGTTTGCTGTGGTTATGCGCTGCTGGGGAGCTCAACGACTTACTCTCTGACTGTTTCATCTGGCTCCAGAACCAATCTCTGCAACAGCGTCGCCCGAACGTTTTCGTCCTGCAAGCAGAGCGTGGCGATGCAACAGCAGGCTTCTCGCCGCACGTCTGCCTCCTCCTCGTAGTGAAGCGCCCACAGAAGATGATCCTTCAGCTCAGGACTCACGTGGCCTATTTCGCCCAATGCTGCCAAATAAAAGGAAGAAAAGCAGTAGTCTTTTAGATTTTGTTTGGCAGGGAGGCAGGGAAGGAATGCTGCTTCTTAATGCATTAATTACAGTCCCTCTTGTCCATGAGGTTTCCAAAGAGCTCCCTGTCCACAGATGCCTGGGGATATTGCACTTGCCCATCCATATGATGTCTGCTTGCTAAAGTGAGATGCAAGAATAAAGTGGTTCCTTGGGATTTTATAGCACTACATACATGAAAGAAGGAAGATTTTGGTAATGTTTTTGTCCTGAAGCACAGACATCCACAGCTGCCTATGAAACCTGCAGTCATTTCTGCCAATACTGTGTTGACCTGGCCATGTGAGAAACCCAGTGGGTTTTCTTGCTAGGAGCTAGCAAAGAAACCTTAAGATATTCCCAGATGCACCCTTCCCACCTGAACCGAAGGTAGAAATCTAAGATTAGAGAAAGACAATCTTTACGCATCCCCTATTAATTCTACATCTGATTTTATGGAGTTAGGTCTGCAAATTTTCTAGGTGGGCCACATGAGGAATTTGGAGAGTAAACTGCACAATAGATATATTTCCCTCTCTTTTCTTGCAGAAGTGACCCTTCATGTTAAGTCAACACCAGATAATCTGGTATACAACATAGTTATCTAACAGGCTAGTACTGAGAGAAGGTGCCTCCTTCTAGTATCCTCAGAATTAAGAAGCTGTCAGCACCAAACCTTGCTCATGGGATTTTTAGGAGACTGTTGGGATTATCTGTGCATTTTATCTTTGACACTGACACTTAGAAACTGATTATGAAAGCATAAAAGTATTCACAGGAATGATCCTTCTTCCTGGATTTCAATCATTTGGGATATCACGCCCTGTTCCCAGCTATATTAAAAGTTCTTCAAAAAATAGTTTTTCTAGGGGAGCGTAGACTTGGCCCTAACAGTGGGGCAGCATAGAACTGCTGAGAGCAAAAGAGTGCACTAAGCAGCAAGAATATTGGTTATTGGCAATTGCAGACCAAAGTGCAGAAAAGTGCAGTTTTTGTTTCTGTGTAAATAGTGGAAATCCCAACATAGTTCCTACACAAAAATAGTTATAGTTATATTTAAATTTAACAGTAATGTCTGTAGGGTCATAGGCTATGACAAAGATTTAAATTCATATATCGTATCAGCACTGTTTGCAGTATGATTAACGCTGTTTAATTTACTGTCTACATGTTTCTCATGCCTGGCATGACACTTTTAGAAATCCTAAAATATTCAGGAAAATACATAAATAAATAAACTTCTGAGGATAGGCTGAAATCCACTTCCAATAACCTGGATTGTTAATGAGTTCTGCAGTACCTCTGATGGCAAAAACCTTGATTATCCAGTGAGGATCATACTGCATCATTTCACTGAGACACTGAAGGACCTGCAATAGAAGGATACAACTGTTAGTGCATATTGCCCCAGTGCTTTATGAAAGGGGAGTTGTGCACATGGTGCTCCACAAGTTTTAGCAAAACAAAAGCCTTATTTTACATATAACATTTTTATAAATATTTTTATAAACACACAATTTTATAAACAAACTTCTGCCCTGAAGAGTTGAGAAGCAATGAATGATTTAAGTGAGGAAAAAAAAAGCCTGACAAATCCTGAGACTGGAAAGGGTTTAGCCTCTAGAAGGCTCCCTCACTCCATATCAAGCCTGCATGGTCCTGCATGCAGATAAAACACGGTTTGATCTTGTGCTTTGCTGTTCTTTCTCTACCACTGATGTTTCCAAACATATATGTGATCGATTTACAGTGAGATTTCTGTAAGCCTTATGATGGGATACACACATGCTGTGCAGAAATTGGAAGCCCACAGGAGGAGTTTTTAGTCTGAAATGCAAAGGTAAGGATGAACACAAGTGTAAAAGTAGGACTCTAAAAACCTGCCCAGCCTTTCCAAGCTTCCCGAAGAACTGTTTACAATTCTGGTGGGAACTAAGGAGTGTGGGAAAGACAGTTTTTAATACAGAAAACATGATTCATGCCTCCTGAACCATTTTTGACCGACTTCTAGGTAGATATTCTAGCCCTCAGGAAATAAGGTTTTGTTTTAATCCTGGCTAACAAGAAACATTTGCAAGACACAGTAATCTAACTCTAGTGTCAGCAGTCTCATGAATTAATTCAAATACCATTCATAACAAACAACTTTTTGTGTGTATGTGGGTTTAAGAGCTGTGTTAAGGGGTTTTTTTTTGTGTGTGTGTTGGTTTGGTCACTTGTCTGAGGTGTTTTTGACTGCTCACCTGCTCATCTTTAATGCCAAGTGCTCCGGCCGTAAGACAGGCTTCTTTCCGCACGGCAACAAAGTCACTGGAGAAGCACTGCAGGAAGCCTGGAAATAGCGTCTCTGTCATGTAGTGCAGCTGCCTAATCAGAGAGAGAGCCTGCACCTTTGTCTGGCAGCTCCCAGTGCTCAGCTTCTCCCTGGGGACACAGAGCAGCTCTTAGCCATGGGCTGAGGGGACTCGTTTACAGGACTCCGTGATCTACCTGGAACATAAAAATTACCTAGATCTCAGTTAAAACCTTTCAGATTCATGACTTCACATTGTCACCCCTCCTGGTCCTGATTCCTTTGTAGGACACTGTAAGTTCCATGTAATTTTGTAAATTAAAGGTCAATGAGAGCGGGAAATACTCAGAGGCACATGCTGAAAATTTTAACAAATTCTCTTTTTCCCTAAGATTGCTGTCTGTGGCTTACTTGACTTCAGGATTGCTCTTAGATGTATAAAGTCTCCTCTTGCATTTTTTGTTTTCCCAAGATGAAAGAGTCATTGCTGAGCCCAATTACTTGCCTCTTATCTATTACGTTATCTTATCTATTATTTTCCCACTTATCTATGGGAATAGAAAGTGAATATATCTCATATTCCTATATGTTCTAGATAACAGAATAGCTTGATTCCCATGTCAGTGACCTCCTAGCGTAAATCTCTTGGTTTACACATGGAGGTAGTTATGGTTTTGCTGCAAAGTCTGTAAATGGGGCCCTTACAACACATGTGAATTTACTTGAAAGCACCTGAATGGCATATAACCTTGAAAACTGGGTATCTAACATAGATTGGGATCACTAATTTTCTACTGCTTCTAAATAACATGGTGTTTATGCACACATGACATACATGTACCAATACATACCTATACACATACATATGTATGTGTTCATAGCTCTCCTCCAGCTTCCCCCAAACCTCAGCTTAGGTACTCGAGATACTGATTTCCAATGAGAAAACTATGAGAAGTCTGACAGTCTTGATGGATCTCCAACCTAGTGATGAACTAAACTCTTTGGAAAGGGGGAGGTTGCCGTGCTGGTTAGTGCTTACGTGAGCGAATCATGGATCTCCTTTGCTAGCTCCATGTGTCCCAGTGCCAGGGTAGCTGCCTGGCGTACTCTTGCGTTCCAGTCCTCCCACATCAGCTGGGAAAGCTTCTCTGTTAGGTCCTACACAAGATGATAAGATGGGAATGCTGCAGCATTAATCAGTAATAAGCTCTGGCCCGCTTCAGGGAAGGATTTTCAAAATTTTTTTGTGTTATTTTAACTTTAACTCTGCCAAAGTCAAGAGTGCAATGCTCATTCGAACTGTGGGTGTTTCACCAGCTTCACTCACAGCATTAGGAGGTGAATGCTGAGCAATGCATACATGTAACAAAATGTGCTGCAGTGGGAAGATAAGGGCTCCCACCAGCAGGCTTCCACCTCCTAGCAGGTACTTCTGGAGTTTTATATTCATCTTTTTTTTCTACACTCAGCTCCTTCAGAAGTTTGCTTTTGCTTACACTCACATATGGATGTGACAATGGAAAGATACATAGAAATTGTTGATAAAATTTGTCTAGAAAAAAAAAAAAGCCTAGGCACTTAGTTTTCTTCTCAGGAGGAAGGCTGTTGACTACACCTTATTTACTGAGACTTAGCTGTTGAGTAACTAGAGAGACACTTTCCCTTTAGCAAGCTAAGATAGAAGACTCCTCCAAAAGAAGATGCCAATCATAGCTAACAGACAAGACAAATGAGATCTGTTATAATTAAACTTAATTTGAGAAGCAATGGTAATTGTGCAGCAACCCTAGCCAATGTAGAGGGAAAACCAAAACGCTAACAAGATTTGTAGATGCCAGGTTGCTAGGAGTAAGGTCGGTGCTTCTCCCCAGTGCAGGGGCAGTATTGATTTGGCCCTTCAGCCTAATAAGGTGTTGCCTGAAGGACATTTGTGTGGAAACCCTTTGGAAAGAGATCAGAGGAAAAGCCTGACTTTTTCAGCCGGGGACACAGATACTCTGCCTGCTGCAAACCCCAGCTGGCTGTGGTTAGTAAGGAGAGAGGGGCGCAGTGCTTCTTCACACTCAAGTATTTTGCTTGTGCAGGATGTGGCGAGATTCCCATATCCCAAGCCCTGCAACATGCAGCCATAGAGATACTTGGGATCCTTAGGAAGGCATCCGCTGACGCCTCTTGCAAGCCTCCGGTGTCGCTGAGGGCCTGCTCCCGACTGAGGAGCGGACCCCGGGATGCCCACGGGCTCTGCCAGCTCCAACCTTGTGGTGGGAGCCGAGCCCCAGGGAGCCGCCGTGGCAGCCGCCTACCTGGCTGGGATGCTCCTTGGCGCCGCGGCAGCCTCTTACCTGGCTGGGATGCTCCCCAGCGCCAGGGAGCGCGCGGCAGGCACGGGCGCGGGCCGTCCAGCGGGGGCTGTTCAGCTGCGCTGTCAGCAGGAAGTGCACCAGGGGCTGGAAGGGACCAGCAGCATCAGCCAGTGTCCCGCGGAGCTCCCAGCCGGAGCTCCGTGCCCGCCCTTCCCAAAGGCCAAGGGCTGAGGCTCTAGCAAGAGGGCTGGTGTGGTTCCCTTTTCCACCTTGCAACCCTGTGCACCCAACTTGTGCTGGACAGCTGGCTAGAGGCAACACCTGAGCTGCCTGCAACCTCCAAGCGACTCTCCAGCCACAGCTGGTGGTCTTTTAATGTCCTGTTTTAAAGACTAGTTGAAAGACAGGCCACTCAGTTAACATGTGACCTGGAGAGCTGAAGTAAAGCTTTCAGTAAACTGGAGATAAACCATTGCAAAATACGTCCTGTCCTCACTTGACTCACTGCCCAGTGCAAAATATGCCCCTTGTGCAGGACAAAAAAGCAGACAAATTTGGTGTTGAGGAGCAGAGAGGGGGGTTGCTGCAAGCTGCCTGCTACCGTCCCCTCCTGCTGCTCCTCTCCCTGCGCACGGGCTGCCCCTACCGTGCGCTCCCCGAGGTGGGCTAGCAGCAGGCAGGCCTGCTCCTCGGCGGCCGCGTCGCTCTTCTCAAAGAGCTGGGAGAGGAGCTTGGCCACCACGGGCACGGTGACGGCGCTCTCCAGAGCCAGGCACTGCGCCGCTGCCCAGCTGTCCGCAGAGTTGCCTGTCCGGGGAGCAGAGAGGGGAAGTTACTGCCAGGGAGGCAGCTGCAGGCCACGTCACCTGCTGCCGTGACTCAGGTCCAGAGCTCAGCCCCGCATGAGACTTTGGATTCTGTTTGCAGTGTCTGCTACCTCAAAATAGGAGTCAAGCTTTAATCCAGGCAAGGAAGAGTTTTGATGGGAAGAACGCTTTGGACAAATTCTGGATACTTGCTGCAATCCTGCTGAAATCTAGCAGGTGATAATGTGATATGATATGATATGATATGATATGATATGATATGATACGATATATAATATATAAGTCTATATTCTGAATGTTTCCTTTGCATTCAGAGGGGCAAACAGCAAGAACACAAAGACTGATAGCTGCATTGCCGAATTGACAGAAACTCAGCCTATCAAAGCTATTTGATTTTGGTGAAGTGCCCATTGAAACATCCCACTCTCCAGTGCTGTTTTACAGAAAACATCTGTTTCATTGACCATCTTGGCAGAGCTGAAGGACCTGGAAAAACCTAGGAGCAGCACACCTAGCTCTGTGAGTGGTTATCCACATACATTTTCCAGTGACCTTCCCTGCTTGTGACTGGCACCAGCAGGACTTGTAATGCTTGGTTCTATCAGGGCTGCATATATAGTCTTTCCAGGAGACAGACTATAACATCAAAATGTCAAGTATGACCTAACCGAAGAACCAGAAGGAATGTAAACACCACAGGGAAGCTTCCACAGAGCCCTTTTACCGTGTTCCAGAGCGTCCTTCATGACTGCTCGTGCCTCCTCGCTCCTGTCCCCGAGAGCGTAGTGACACAGCGCAGATGCCATTCGCACGTGGGCATTCGGGTCCCGCAGAGCCTCGCTAAGCAATGGCCCTAGTTCTGCAAACACATCCTGGGTTACTGAGCACTTCCTAGCACTCTCCGTTACTGCCGCTGGAGAAATACCTGAATAAGAGAGCAACGTTATCTGCCTTTTGTTTCTTTTTTCCTTATATAAATACATATATGCATGGCAACATATTTTCCATGCAATTGATAAATAGTGTGCTTGACTACTTGATAAAAATGGATATGCAACACATAATAACAATACAAATATGCTTTCAAAAGCATTATTTTGTCCATCTCTAACATCCATGAGCACCGAAGATCTTTGTATTTCACTAGATATCAGTAAATTTCAATTTGCAACCCATGGCAAGGTAAAAAATGATGCTTATACTTATTTTACCGACAAAGATTAGCAAGGAAAAGTTGATGTAGCTCAGCTAAAAGCACACAAGCCAAAAAATATATATATAAATAAAGTCGTTTGTACTAAGCTGACAACACAGTCATTGCTTTCACGATCTCCCACTCTCCAGCAGTGGGTATAAGATCAGGTAGGAAGTGAGTAGAAATTAAATTCACTTGATTCCCTTTATTTCTGAACTGCCTTAGATTGGAGTCTTTATTTAGAGAGCTTATTTGTAAAGTGGCTTTTATAATACTGAATTGAAAAGTACCCTTTTTGGGTATTGACAACTTTATAGAGCAATGATGCTGATAACGAGGTATCATGAAATTGCCCTTCTTTTCACACACAGATAACCTCCCATAACAGTCAAAATTTTCCATACCCACATGCAGATCAGCAGCCTGCAAGCCAGAGCTTCTCTCACTGAGCTTCTGAGGGTTGTTTTTCCATCCATGTTGTTCGACTGCCGCACACACACAAGCTATGAAAGCCTTGATTCTACTGATGTCATGTACACTTGTGAGAGACCTCCTTATACCTTCTCTTGTCATATTTTGCCACTGGGGATCTGACATCAGAGAGGAATATGTATTTTAGATAATCAGCATGGCAATCTTCCTTAGATTTCCTTCATCTGGAAGACCTTCCTGACATGGGTTCACCACAAATGCAAAGGACACTCATCGCCCACAATTGCCCTTGTTTCCCTGCCTCCAGGATAGCATCTTTTATGCCCTGCCTAGGAGCTTAGCTTCTCTTTGTCTCCTCAGGTAAAGCACAGTGCTTCCCTAGAAAATTGACCGCTATGCAATGCAGAAGTGGACAGCAACCAAAGGCAGGAAGTTTAGATTTGGGGAAACATGTCCACATTGACCTTAAAATCTCTGCTTAGGAGAAAGAAAAATGTATTTCTTCCCTGCCCTCTGCATCTGTGTCAGGATTGCTTCAGTAGGAGAAGTGGGGAAAACCTATCTATGGGTCACCCAAACTTATTAAATTCGTTAAATATTTCCAGAAAAGAAGACATCTAGGAGATCTACAGCTTTTATCTTTAGTACTCTACTCTTAGATCTCAGCAATTACTTGTTCATAAAAAATATGAATAAAACAGTGTTTTTGAGGACAGGTCTGATATTGTCAATTCTTTACACAAGAATCATTGAGCAACTAGTTACTATTTGAGTTCATTATTGACCAAGTAGATTTGAATAAAACAATCCACTCACGCAGGTCCCAGGCATCCTTCCACTGCTCCAGTGTAGCTCTGAGGACTTGTGTTTCCCAAGACACTTCTTTATTAGGCTCCTTGAACTCCTTCTGTACTTCCTTGGCCTTTGTAGGAGGTGACTCCTCATCATTTTGCACAAAATAAGGAGTTAAAGTGGGGAGAGCAATCCATCGAAAGGCTCCTTTCTTGGGTCTCCATGCTACTCAAAGAGATTTTGTTAAAACACATTAGAAGTAGGACTCTAGGACTAGAGGAAATGGCTTCAAATTGAAGCATCGGAAGTTCCACAGGAACTTAAGGAAGCATTTCTTCACTGTGAGGGTGACAAAGCACTGGAACAGGCTGCCCAGAGAGGTTGTGGAGTCTCCTTCTTTGGAGATCTTTAAAACCCGCTTGGAYGCAGCCCTGTGCCMCGTGCTCTAGGTGACCCTGYRTGWGCAGGGGGGTTGGTCTCGATGACCTCTGAGGTCCCTTCCAACCTTCGGCATTCTATGATTCTATGATTCTAAGTAGCCTATGTTACCCATAACCTAAAAGAGTCAGAGAAGAAAGACACCACAAAGTGTTGCTGTGATGTACATCCCAAGCACCTCCAGCATCAGGCTGAAGCAGGAACAGCAGCGTAGCTGTAAATAGCTGTTCCCTGCAAACAAGGCAGAAACCGAATATGGACAATTCCATTTCCGAGTCAAGCAGGCAGTTACTGAGATGCAAGGTTTGGAAGTTCTCCACATTAAACAAAGTGAACTGCAGGCTCTCACCTGTCCTCCTCTGTGACTTGCAACCCCAGCATTCAGGTTGTCTTGGGAAGGGCTGCTGGAGATGTTTGCAGTATTGGTCATGGTTCTCCAGGATGAAAAAGTCCTTCATCCCTTCATCCACCTGATGAACAATCTTTGCAGTCCCTGTGTACACAGAGGAACACATGCTACTTGAAGACCTTCTCTGTAAAACAGGTCTCTGGTCTGCAGAGTCTGTCAGCACATACCACTGTTTGCTCTTGATAACTGTGAATGCAGTGAAGCGGTTGCATCAAGAAGGGGCTTCTAAAATAACTTAGGGGTGGTGAAGAGGTTTACAGGAGTCAACATGAAACCAGAATGAACCTGTGGGACCCACTTTGCAAATTCACCTGGAATTCCAGCAGAAAATCTCTCATCAGAAAGCTGCTTAAAACTAACCCCAGACTCTCCTGTCAATACTTAGGTTTTCTAGTCTCATCTGGCTGCATCTAAATGATATCCTGTGTTCATAACATGCTGCCAGCCATATTCACTGCATACACAGATGAAACAGCAATCATTTTCTCTATTCTTTTTCTGCCTCTCTGATCTTATTATCTGAAATCATGATCCATAGACACTTTCAGACAACGGTCTGATGAAATAAGGAGGGTCTCTCTAAGAAGGTCCTCCTTCAGTCTCCATGTATTTTTTCAATAATTCGGATTTTCTTTTGTGATAGATAGTTCCACAACAACTAGCCAATTAAAAACAGCAATACATACGAAGTCTTACTGAATAATGAATAACTGAGACCTATGTTGCCACATCTGGAGTACTGCGTCCAGTTCTGGGCTCCCCAGTACAAGAGGGATGTGGAGCTGCTGGAGAGAGTCCAGCGCAGGGCTACCAGGATGATCAGGGGCCTGGAACATCTGCCCTATGAGCAAAGGCTGAGAGAGCTGGGCCTGTTCAGCCTGGAGAAGAGGAGGCTGAGGGGGGGACCTGATGAGCGTGTATAAATACCTCAAGGGAGGCAGTGAGGAGGAGGGGGTGGCCTCTTTTCAGTGGTGGGCAGGGATAGGACTAGAGGAAAGGGCCACAAGCTGAGGCACCAAAAGTTCCACAGGAACTTAAGGAAACACTTCTTGACAGTGAGGGTGACAGAGCCCTGGAAGAGGCTGCCCAGAGAGGTTGTGGATTCTCCTTCTCTGTAGATCTTCAAAACCGCTTGGATGTAGCCCTGTGGCACGTGCTGTAGGTGACCCTCTATGTGCAGGGGGGTTGGAGTAGATGATCTCTAAAAGTCCCTTCCAACATTAAGGATTCTGTGATTCTATGTTGTTCTGTAATTTCCCAGTGCTTAGTATCCTGGACTACCCAAAATACCAGGAAAATGAACGCAACTTTGAGCTGGTACAAAATGTGTCACTAAAACTGGACAGAGAGGAGACATGAACTGCAGATCTCAGAGCTCACGGAGAGAAAAATCTACCAGCCATTTCATATCAAGAGACATCGTTCCACAATATCTACAAAAATATCACCTAGGAAGGAGGACAAAGTCTCCAGTTCCAAATCATCTCTGCCTTCTCTGTGTGGACTTAAACTGGCAAATAAGGTTTGATAGAACCCAGGACACGGTAGAGTCTTTTGGGGTGAGGAGCAAACTTTGTGTAGAGCCTGTTCCCAAACCACTGCCAAACTGGTCACTGACTTTTGAAATGAACTTGGGCCAGATAATGTGTACCTTACCAAAGTAAAGCTCCCGCTCAAATGTGTTCTTGGGGGTGTAGGTGTGTTTCCCAACACGAGAAATCAAATATCTCTGTGCAGAAGATTCTGAGTTCAGAGAAGTTCTTTCTGTGGCATCAGCTGTATCATTTTTATCAGCAGGGTTAACAGTTGACAGCGCTCTTGGGTAATGAGCAGGTGGCCCACTGAAAAATAAACACAGCAAGCTTGGAAACAAGGCTTGGAAACCACTGGAGTGAAAGAGGAGTGCAAAAGTAGTCCGTGCTTTATGTGAGACAACTCCTTTCCTCTAAGTGAAAATACGTTATTTGCACAGGGGCATTTCCTCTGTGCAGTTTCCAGTCACCGCTTGCTGCATTCACATCTCAGACCTCACCACTCATGACAAGCCCCACAGTAATCCAGGCAGTGGTATGAGGCCAACTGGCAGAAAGGCAGTGCTCTTTCTGTAATGGATTTGTAAATGACTGCTGAGGACCATTCTGGGGGACTATGTGAGAGTTTGGGGTCCTGCTTCAGAAAAGGAACAAAGAAGTGGGAGAGGATTCAGAGGCCATTGAAAAGAATCTGGAAAACATGATGTTTAGACTGTAAATAGAGGTCTTTGGGAGGCCAATGGTAAATGAAATCCTCAGTGGGCACAAAGTTGGAAAAAATACAGCACAAAGTGGTTCACACACATCATCATGCTATCAAGGCCATCCTTGTCTCAAAGACATAAACACTCCATGCCTCTCCATGCAGAAATACAGTTGATGCACCATGGGATGGCTAAATACAAACAGTAGTGATGAGGAACAGCTATGGGGCAGACACTAGGAAATAAGACACGTCCTCCATACCTGCTGGAGATGGGGAGGACTGTTCTAGGAGTCTTCTCAGCTTGTGTCTGGGATATGATTCCCATGTCATTTTCTTTGCCTTGAATATTATCTGACATTTTCACATCTCTATTGGAAGAAAGCTCATCCCTGATTGCATTGCACTTCTGTTTTTCACCATCAACAGGGTGACGTTGAACAGAGCCACTCCTGGGTTTCTGTTGATTCGCAGTCCTTTGGAGTGTTGTCCTGTTCTGTTTCTCCAGCCTTGTTTTCTCCATTTCCCAAGTCATCATCTGAGATTCCAGGGTGTTCTTCTCAGAGATCCACTTTTTCTGTTTTCTTCTCAGGGAGCCAGATACCTTCTCACAAGGCTTTGATGGGGATGCCTGCATGCCTGGGGTCTTGCAAGAAGGAACAGGTGGTAAAAACCTTCTGGGCAAGGTTTCTAGTTTGGAGCCCCACAGGCTGTCCTCCTTCCTGAGCTTAGGAAAAAGCCCGCTATTTTTCTTAGGGAGAAGTGGTTGCTTCTGTGGGTGGGATCTGGCTGAATGCTTTAAGTTCACAACAATAGGCTTCTCACTTTTGGGCTTTTGAATGATATCAGAAGGATCATAGAGGTGTTTGAAGTTGTACTCCTTATAGGACAGTCCTTGTTGCTCCAGTACATCCTTAGAGAAACTCAGGCTCTCCACTATGTGCCTGACGTACTTTCTCAGGTAATACAACTGATGTTGATCAGAGTGGCTGAAGTCCTGTGAGGTCATGGTGGTGTCTGTGCTCTGCAAGGTCACAGCTGGGCCTCCATGGACCTGCAAGCACTCAGCCAACACACCACGCTCCTCAGCACCCGAGCGACGATTGCTCTGAAACATTGATGTCTTCATTCTGCCCCATGAGGTGAAGCAACCTCAGTGCTGTTGCTGCAGCCAGCAAACCCTTTAAAACATAGCGATCAGATTGAAAAGCTCTATCAGTTATTGCATGAGACTGAAATCCTATGGATCAGAGAGCATGACAAAGAAGATCAGTCCCATTCCTTCAGAAAGAGAAAAGGGAACTATTATCAGTATCTGTGTTTTTAAACTGGGATATTCTGTTCCTGTTTTGCAAAGACGTATTTCAAGACTGCACTGTTTCGGGAGACATCACTTTGCATAAATTACCACTGTAGCAAGACTGCCAACAGCCATATAATTAGCAGGCATATAATTTGCTGGTGATGAAGACATCTGTTACTCAACCTATCAGTCACCTCTGAATTAGGGCAGACTTACCAGCTAACTTTCTGGTGTGGCTCCTGAAATCCTAATCTTGTTTTAACAGGCACAAGATGCATTTGAATTCAGAGTACGGATTTCAGTGCTCCATTGGTATTCCAGTGCTTGTCCCGTGTTTACAGAAGTTGCCTGGCAACTTGGGGGTACTTCAGTTCCATCAATGCCCTCTCTGTTCCTTGTGCAGCGTATCTGCCCAGCTTTTGGTTTTTTATTAATGCTCTCTCCTTAAATATCAGCCTTTTTATCTATTTGTTTGTTTATTTATTCAGACTTCATTTAGTAGGAGTCTTTTTAAATCTTTTATGTCACTCCATTCAAGGCTCACTCAACATTTTTTACCTTCATTAATTTTTTAATGAGGTATAGCACATGTCTCAGGTTAAATCTGTGATAAGAAGACAATAACTGTGTTTAAATGATGGGACTTACTACTGTGATTTTAAAAGCATAGCCTAGCCTTTGTAATTTAGGATATTTTCACCACATCCTTGAAAATTCATGCAATGCAAAACTCATTCTCTTCTTTAAGTTGCTTAAATTTAGAACATGGGGTACGGATAAGGCAAAGGTGGTCCAGAAGCCACAGGTGATATCAAGATTGACTAGAAGGTGTTCTTCCGAGAACAAATAAGATTACAAAAGCACCTGTTATCAAAATGCACCTGTGAAGTGATATAAATACCACAAAGAATTGTGCAACCTGTGGTATGAAAAGATGAAGATATAAACAAGATATAATTATTAAAAAGCAAGCTTTAGAGCTGCCGATGGCGGTAAAGAAACTACATTAGCACCACAGTCTCACATATGCCAGGCAGGGAGAAAGTTGTTTTTACCTGGCTGGTTCTGCCCAGCAGCCTGGGGTCTTTGCTAAATCAGATATCAAGACACCCAGCGGCGAGGGCAGAGCAGGAGAGCAATAGAGGTGGTCCAAGAGTCCCTCTGCATTGCCAGGCTGTGTCCTCTAATGCACATGATTGCAGAGCCTCTCTGTCCATCTCTCTTGACTTGTGAAGATGCCTACTTGGATCACTCTCCCCACTCGAAGTCAGGATGGGGGCCCTGCTAAGCCTCTGCTCATGCCAGAGCTTATGCTAGAGCTTCTGCTTCTTTAATGTCCTCCAGCTCTGCTCTTGGCCATCTCCACGCTAGTGGGAATGACAACTTGGTGCCAATGCACAAGTGAGAGCGAGGCACAAAGCTCAAGCCAGGCCCCAGGAAGAGGGGAGGGTCACTGGATGTCAATTTTGGAAACTAGAAAGGCATTAGCCATCAAAATTACTGTATTATACACTCTGGTTAGTTCAAAAGAAATGGGCTGGCCATGTGATAGTGTTTTGTGTGCCCTTCCTGGTCCATACTGCAAGGTGATCCAATAGTTGCATAAAATTGATGGAAGTCCCTATTTTTTTATTCTCACTGAAACTTGATCTTTATCTAACTAAGCTATTCTCTCTCTGTTTTCTTATTCTCTCTCTCTTTTTTTTTTTTCTCCAGTAGAATGTGCCAGGAATGGAAATGGATTCCTCTCTAAACTGATTTGTCAAGCCACATTTAATGATTCAAGATACATTTCATAAGAAGAGGTAAATTTGTGTGAGTTTCCTACACTTCATCATCAGACTTTTTGGTTAAACAGTCTTGGACTGATCCTGGTGGGGGATTGCACTTGAACCACTTCACACACACACAAAAATAGTGCTGTGAGACATCATTGTTCCCCGCCTGACCTGAATTCCTGTTCAAGCTTAGAGATTACTGAACAAGGCTCCCTTCTTTAACCTTTAAAAAAGACTGCCAAATCTATTCCAGTGGAGTTCCCAGTGATGGCAGGAAATCTATGCATATGGGTGGCATAGCAAAGACATCGTATACAAGGAGCAGCGTCTAGACTGGAGCAGGGCTCTGCACTGACCTTCCCCTTCTCCCATTGCCCTCAGTCACTGGCACCACTGTATAAAGGAGGTAGCGTTGTGGGTGGTGAGATCAAAGCTCCCTCTGAGTTCCAGCTCAATGGATGTCCAAGCAAAACCCTCAGGCTTTTTTCAACAAATATTTGAAAGGCAAAAAACATCCAGGGCATAAGACTCAATTTCACAGATTCTTTCACATTTCTCAAGTCAAACCATATTCACAGCTGTAAAATCCCCTAACTAACATCAAAGGTTTTGCACACCCAAAGCAGAGAGAAAGGTGAGGTTCATATTTTACTTGCTATTCCTAATCGTACATGCTTTATTTTCAAGGAAAGTAAGCCTCAGAAAGTATATATCGCAATCAGTCCTTGCTCAAATGAGATTACCAGATACTTGTGTATACTCTTAGTGCTTAGAGAGCCCTCAACGAGTGCTGGCACTTGCCGTATTTCTATAAACTCCCCATACATAAGCAATCTTCTTGCTTCAAGCAATCTTCTTGGTTGCTGTCAATCACCCACATGTACTAATTCAGAGAAAAGGTCTCCTTTTCCATAGGCAGCCTGTAGGGCAGCAAAGTTTGGGAGAGGAAAGGCAGTGACTGAGGGAGAAGATGAGGAGGGGGCCCCCAGCTGCGTCTTCCTCTGGGTCTGCTCCTGCCAGGACAATAACCAGTGGGCTGCAGGGAGGTTTCTGAGATCCCATCATGAGTTGGCACTTGCCTCTTAGGAACTGCACCCTGGAATCTTGTTTGACACATGTGGGAGGTCCAGCCTGTGCAGCAGTGGGCCATCAAGGCTTGGGAAGAGCCGCTACACTTCAGAGATGCCCCCACATTATCAGAGGACTCACTATGCTTAGTCCACCCTGCTAAGGCCACAGGCTACAGGCAGCCACTGGCATCTTCCAAGGTCAGCGTGGACCTGTTTCACCACAACGTGATCATGTGCTGGGCTGCAGAAGTGTACAGTATGGGATAGTAGAAAATGGATGACACTGTTTCTGGCTAGGAGCTTCCAGGCTGCTGGGAATTGACTCTTCTCCCTAAAAGATCTTCTGTGCCTGATGTTCATGTCCTCTTTAGGAGAACGTGCTCTGGCTGATAATTCGAGAGAGCCTGGTCATTCAAGAAGCCATTCTATGTTCTACAAACATCTCCAAAATGAATGTGGTACATTTGCTACTTTGTATTTAGGATGAGAAATCTGTATAAGAGTTAAGAATTGACAAGAGAGAATGAGTGCACACACCTCCCACCACCCATGTGGAGGAGCGTGCAGCAAGAGGACATGAAGCAAGGCCAGACCTGGGCTGTCCTGCCTTCCCCCCACCTCAGCTGGGCTTGGGCTTTGCTCCCACTGCTGCCCCTGAAGCCGCATCTCGCCCTGCCGGAGTCGCAGCAGCCGCTTTGCAGCCTCCCCGTGTCACCCACTCTGTCCCCACCTGCACACCCACTACCAAGGCCAGTCTTCACCCCCTCGGGGCCATGGGGGGCAAGTGTCCCTCTCCATGGCAGTGTCTCCTGCTGCCCTGAGCAACCAGTTGACCTGGGGTGATTCTTGGCTCCTTTCTCTCCAGCTCCGTGCCCTGTGTAAGCTGCCAAGCTGGCAGCTGGGCATCCTGCTTTTCACAGCCCTTTCTTCATTTTTGCCTCCGGTGAGCTCAGTCAGGGGACATGAGTCTTTCCCACCCAGCACATTTTGTAACCCACATTGCTCACAGGGCTGGCTCACACTATGGCCCTGCCGTTGATGACAATGACTTGCTATCCCTGGGTAAAGCGTGCAGAGACACCAGGAGCGAGTGAGGGTCCTGGCCTGGCCCATTGGCCCAAGGGCTCATCAGTTAAGGGTCTCGCAAGAATCACAAGACTGCAAAAGCCCACGAGATGCTAGGCCTGCACTGCCAGCCTGGTGGGGTTTCCTCTTCCCTGAGAAGCTCCTTTATATCAACAGCAGCTCAAGCCCCTCAATCCCTCTGAGGGGGCCAGTCCCTCATGAAGATGGCAGTAGCCCCCATGGTTGGTCACGAGTGGGGTCATCCCTCTGCCCATGCACAGCACAAGCTCCTCAGTGACAATGTCCCACTGTGTTCAGGACCCCGTCATGAGTCTGGGCTTTCCAGGAGCATCAGCGCAGGAGGTCAGCCTGAGGAAGCTGCCAAATCACTCCCACACTGCGGTGCCAATTCCCTGAAGTCTGCAGGAGGCAAAGGCCTCTCGTTTTCCATAGAGAGCCGCAGCTTGGCAGTGTTTGGGACAAGAAAGGTAGTGGTGGTAAGATAAGCCAAGGGATGGGTAGGCAGACTGCCTGTTCTTGTCAGGATAATAACCAGTAGGTTGCAGGGAGTTGCTTCTAAGATCCTGTCACAAGTTGGCACTTGTCTTTGGGAAGTTTGCCAGAGCTTATCTGATGGGATGACAAGACACAGCTTGCGCAGCAGTGGAGCCCAGGCCTTGGGCTGAGCTGCTGCCCTTCAGAGATGCTCCTGCAATAGCAGGAGATTCGCTACGCTTACTCCATCCTGCTGCAGGCTCTGACAGGGCTGCACCTATGGTTACAGGCTCCAGGCAGCCTCTGACGTCTCCCTGACACAGCGTGGGCCTCCGCTTCACCTGCCCAGGAGAGCCCTCCCCTCCTCTGCGTGTGAGCAGCAGTATTTATAGAAGCACCAGCCTGAGAGTGGCTGCTGGGAAGGCGAGAGGCAGCGGGACCATGTGGCGGGTCACTTCCCATGCCCTGCGCTTGGTGGATGCTCGGTGCTGGCAGAGGCAGCTCTGTCAGCCCAGCCCCGGCTCCCTACGCTGCCACCCTGCGTGGACCTCTGGGGCGGCCGCTGCCCGCGGATTGTCCCGCACAGCGCCCGCCGTGCGCTTCTCGCCGGGCGCGCGCAGCCTCTTCGACGAGCCGCTGGGCATCGCCGTGCAGGGCCTGCGCCCGCGGCAGCCYGTCACGCTGCGCGCCTCCGTGCAGGACGAGGCGGGCGAGCGCTTCGAGGCGAGCGCCCGCTACGAGGCRGAGGAGAGCGGCGAGCTGGACCTCGGCCGCAGCCCCGCGCTGCCGGGCGGCAGCTTCTGCGGCCTCGAGCCCATGGGGCTGCTCTGGGCGCTGCAGCCGCAGAAGCCCTTCTGGTGCATGGTGAAGCGGGACGTGCAGACGCCGCTGCGCCTGCTGCTCGAGGTGTTCGAGGGCCACGGGCCGCCGCCGGGCCGGCTGCTGGCCCAGGGCCAGCACGAGCGGATATTCCTGCGGGATGGAGTGCAGCGAGTGCCGGTGCGTGAGGGGAGGATCCGAGGGACGCTTTTCCTGCCTCCTGGTGAGTACTAGTCATGGCCATGCTGCTTTTCCCAGGAGTAACATGTTTCGCCAGTACAAGCTCCAGTTCTTCCTTGATCTCCTTAAAAAGGAGTCTGTGAATTTGCCTGTCCTTCCCTCAGCAGGGTTTCCTATTTACCTGGCTGTGCAGGTCCCAGGGCAGTGCCACCGAAGCTGGCAAAGAAGTAACTCTTAATGCGTAGAGTTTGAGCTTAAAAACACGGGGAACTTTGGAGCAAGTGAAAATGCATGTGCCTGGAGGACCTCTGGTACCAGAAAGCTATGGCAAGGGTGCTGGAGACCTCCCAGCTGTGTAGTCCTAAGCCTGGCCCAAAGCCCAAAGCCATCTCTATGTGAAAAACTAAGCTGTTCTCATCCCTGAGGAGGTTTGGGAGATCTTCCCTATCACCCTGACACATCAACAGGTCATGTTTTACCATGTTTGGAACCATGTGTTGGGGTTTATTGCCTACAAACATTGGTCTATGCAAAGGAGGAGGTGGAAAGAAATTCTCCTAACAATCTTAGGAAAAACAAATTTCCATTAGGAAAAGACAAATATTGAATTGCTCCTGGAAAAGATAGACAACTGAATTCCTGGCCTCTGTGGTACACAGCCACTGCCTTGAATGATCAAGGTCCTTGGAGAGGCAGTGGAGCTGCTGTTGTCCGAGTGTGCAGGCAGCTACCCTCTCCTGGAAGCAGCAGAAATAAGGGCTCAGCACCCCTTTGGATGGCTGGGCTCTCCCCAGCTCAACCTGGAGACCGTGAGCAGACACTGGGCACTCTCCCTCCTCCTCAACCCTGGGCAGCAAGTCCCACCTACCACCTGCAGCTTATTTGAGAATGTGTGGGGCTCCACCTTGCAAGGCCAGAGCCCATGTCAGGAGGGCACACACTGAGGGCATCGCTGAAGGTAGGAGGGATGAGCTTTCGCAGGTCAGAGGCTCTCCTGAAGCCAAGAGGAGCTGGACCTCACCTGCTTCCCAACATGGCCAGGGCACCTTCTTTGGTCTGAAGCTCATAAAGCTCTTCCTTGTGGGCCTTGCAGCCCACAGACCCTTGAGGCTACAGGACTGCAATATGCAGAACCCTTTTGCTCTGAGCCTGAGGTTTTTGGGGTCCATGATTTCCTCCTCTTGTTGAACTGGGAGCATGAACTGTGCTTTCTGCAGGATCAAGGAAAGAGGATCTTAGGGCAAGACGGGAAGATCTAGGCAATGCTCTTCCCACCACCCACAGTCACTAGTGCTCTTGTGGGCAGAATTTGATGTTGATCAAAGTCAGAGATGTGATTGCTGAGGACATCAAGCGCTGGCTAAGTCAATCCCATCCATCATTCTTCCATAAGTCCCAAGTGTTCAGCAGCCACAATACAAGCACAAACATATACAGGTAGCTACCTGAACAGTACTACAACATCTGTTAAGCCATGCTACATTGAAGATCTTAAATAGTTCTTGTCAGCTGCTTATGGGGAGAGGAGAACTTGGGACAAGTCACCATCACCAAACGCTAAATGCCAATTGGCCTCAAATATGATGCTGAAATTCTGCCAGTTCCCAGCACAGAAAAAGACTTGCATCTTACTCATCAGGTTTGATTACTGAGTCTTTCATCATCTGCAAGATATTCTTGTGTATTTTCACCTACCAACGTAATATTGCTCAGTGACTGGTGATGTCTCTTGCCCAAGATAAGCTCTTCTGCAGTTCTTAATGTGTACCTGGTTTGGGGCATTCTAAATAGGAGAAATGTTTAAAGGGCTCATTGCAGGCAATTCTCCTCCTGCTCTTGTCTGCTGCAGGAGAAGCACCCTTTCCAGGAATCATTGACATACATGGACTTGAAGGAGGTCTTCTTGAATACAGAGCCAGCCTCCTGGCCAACTATGGCTTTGCCACATTGGCCCTGGCATATTACCACTATGAGGATCTGCCCCAGAAGCCAACCGAACTCCACCTGGAATATTTTGAAGAAGCTGTGAACTACATGCTGCAGCACCCACAGGTAGGAGCACCCTGAGCTCCAAGGAGTGGCTTCTTCTCCAAATTGCCCCTCACTTTATCTCTATTATTCTCTATTATCCCAGGGAGCTGTTCATCTGTGGGAGGTAGCTACAGCTCACCCGACACCAAAAAAAAAAAAAAAAAAATCCTTGCCATCCTCTGCTTCACAGTGTTGTACAAATGCTCAGTGCTATAGAAGGTCTTCTGCAGTAATATTTAGCTGATGTGCTTTCCAGCTCTGTAATGATGGGGATTTCCTCCTCTTTCCCAGGTAAGGAGACCAAGGCTTGGCTTGCTTGGCTACTCCAAAGGAGGAGAACTGTGTCTTGCCATGGCTGCCTTCCTGAAGAACATCACAGCCGTTGCTTCCATCAACAGTCCAGTGACTATTACAGCTATTCCTCTCTGTTACAAGGATAAAACCATCCCCCATTTGCCCTGGCATGAAGAGCGTGCCACAGTCAATCAATCCAATATTTATGATTGCTCTGACGTCCTTGATGACCCCTTCCAAGTCCCTGATCACCAAAGCCGGATCCCAGTGGAGAATATCGAGGCAAAATTACTGTTCATTGCTGGGCAAGATGATAATTTGATTAAGAGTGAATATTTTGCTATTGAAGCCTGCAAACGTTTGCAGGCTCAAGGGAAGAATAATTTTCAGATTCTCTCCTACCCTGGCACAGGACATTGTTTTGACCCCCCATTTTTCCCTTTGAACGCTATAGGAAGGCATCCTGTTCTTCTCAAGCGGGTATTCCTGGGTGGGGAGCTCAAGGCTTACTCTAAAGCACAGGTTCAAGCTTGGCTAGAGATACAGGCTTTTTTCAACAAACATTTAAATGAAAAATAACATGCAAGAAACACAGATTTGAATAATCTGATCTAACAGCCCTTTGTATTTAAAGGCTTGTATTTAATGTATGACATTAAATTTTGTTCACAGTTGCACCCATACAACCCCTATATCTTTCCACTATAGGCCATTATCAGTGGTCTGAGACACTGCTGTCTCAGAACTTTATTTCCATTTTCCCTTTTCCCAAAAACATTTTTACAAAAGAAAGGCATGGCAAATACTGTCTTCCATCTATATGCATATGCTACCTTCAGCACGTATCTTCTGAAAACTTCCTCTCCCATTAACTTTGAGGAGACTGTTGTTGACACACTAAGGAGAAGTGGAATCATGTTTGGTTACTGAGATGTAGGAATTATCAATATGGGCATGTCAGGATTGGAATGATGAGAGTGTCTTCTTAAGTGCTCTCAGATTCCTGAGAATTGTTTTTCCCCATTCTGCCAAAGAACCCATTCTGCCAAATAGTTATGTGATCTTCTCCCACGCAAGCTGGTACCTTTTCTGCTCCAGGACTGGGGCAAGAATATGAAAAGAGAGTGAGTTTGAGCGGCATGGAGTATTCTGTTATGTTTTGGCTAGAAGCAGGCATCTTTTCACCTGGGCTGCTCTCTTTCCCCTCAAATTGGGTGCTGGGTTGCTCAGCTGAGGAGAGGAGACCAAAGGAGACTCCTACATGGGACCCTGGGGCACCTTCACATCTCCTCTGCTCTTGGGCCATAAAGGGTAAAACAGAAGGGATGTTGTTTTAGACTCCAGTTCTTTTCCCCTTGAACCTCTTCCAGGCTACAATCAAGCTTGTGTCCAAATGCAGCCCTGTGTGCTGAGGAGTCCCACACTCAGCAGCAGGTGAAGTCTCTACACATTGAGGGCAGGACATGAGACAACACATTGATATTGAGATGACCAGGCCGTGTGGCTGCCAGAGCTGGGCAGAAGCTGGCAGAGATGTGACCTGCCGTGCACACACCTCCCGCTACCCGTGTGGAGGAGCGTGCAGCAAGAGGACAGGAAGCAAGGCCAGACCTGGGCTGTCCTGCCTTCCCCCCACCTCAGCTGGGCTTGGGCTTTGCTCCCACTGCTGCGCCTGAAGCCACATCTCGCGCTGCTGGAGTCGCAGCAGCTGCTGTGCAGCCTCGCTGCTGGCTGGCGCAGTCCCCTGCGCTGCCTGCACCGTCCCCACCACGGGCCCTGGCCAAGCCTCGCTGTGCCTGCGAGGCTCTGCGGGGCCTTTGACACGTATTTCTAAACGTTTAGAAATGCGTGTCTCCCACAGGCTCAGGGATTTCACCACGTTCACCCTGGCTGCCCCATCCCAAGCAGGAGCATCTCCGACTGCTGAGCTGTGGGAAGCCGGCTGCACCTCACAGGCCAGGACAGGGATGAGGGGCCCTGTGGGGCCAAGACAGGGATGAGGGGCCATGCGGTGTCAGGACAGGGATGAGGGGCCATGTGGTACCAGGACTGGGATGAGGGACCATGTGGTACCAGGACAGGGATGAGGGGCCATGCCGTGTCAGGACTGGGATGAGGACCACGCAGTGCCAGGCCAAGGACAAGGGCCACATGGTGCCAGGATGGGGATGAGGGGCCACGCGATCCCAGGACTGGGATGAGGACCACGCGGTGTCCAGGCCGCAATGGGAGCCGGGGCCACGCAGGCTGCGGGGGGCAGCTCGTCCCTCTGTCCGGCAGCTCTCGCCCCCGCGCCGCGTTCCAGCCCCGCTCCCGAGGGAAGCTCGGCCAGGGCCGCCGGCGGCCGCCGCCTGCGGGCCTCGCTGCGCGTTAGAGGCAGCGCGCGGGGGCAGCACCGGGGGGCGCGCTCGGTCACGGGCTGCCCCGGCTGCCAGCGCCCCGTGACGGACACGGGCAGCGCGGAGAGCGGCGGCAGAGCGCGGCCGGTCGCGCAGAGCGGCGGCAGAGCGCGGCCGGTCGCGCGGAGGAGGCGGCAGAGCGGGGCCCGCCCCGGCGCCGGGCCCATGTGGCGGCTCGCTGCCCGCCTCCCGCGCTGCGCGGGCGGCCTGTGCGGCGCGCGGCGGCTGCTGGCGGGCCGCTGGCAGCGCCGCCTCTCCGCCATGGCGCCCGCCGTGCGCTTCTCGCCGGGCGCGCGCAGCCTCTTCGACGAGCCGCTGGGCATCGCCGTGCAGGGCCTGCGCCCGCGGCAGCCTGTCACGCTGCGCGCCTCCGTGCAGGACGAGGCGGGCGAGCGCTTCGAGGCGAGCGCCCGCTACGAGGCGGAGGAGAGCGGCGAGCTGGACCTCGGCCGCAGCCCCGCGCTGCCGGGCGGCAGCTTCTGCGGCCTCGAGCCCATGGGGCTGCTCTGGGCGCTGCAGCCGCAGAAGCCCTTCTGGTGCATGGTGAAGCGGGACGTGCAGACGCCGCTGCGCCTGCTGCTCGAGGTGTTCGAGGGCCACGGGCCGCCGCCGGGCAGGCTGCTGGCCCAGGGCCACCACGAGTGGGTCTTCATGCAGGACGGCTTGCAGCGAGTGCCGGTGCGTGAGGGGAGAATTCGAGGGACGCTTTTCCTGCCTCCTGGTGAGTGGCGAACGGGCACCAGGCTTCTCTGCGTGCACCTCTCGTGGGGCTGGGCATGAATCGGTGGCCACCTCCTCCCCTGTGAACCCCCACTGGAGCCCTCCCGGGTTTTGAATCCCCCCTGAGCCCGGATTCCGGAGCTGGCACAGCCTCCTTCCTAAACGCTTTGCCTGTGTTTGCTGTGCTGGCTCGTGTTCCTGCTGCTGGTGTACAGCAAAGATCGTGGGGCTCTGCCTGGCGTGCACCAAAAGGCCCCAACTCTTTCCAGCAAGGCCACAACGCAGGCGCTTGCTTCACGGGGCTGGGGACCGTTCTGCCCCCACACCTAACTGCAGACTTCTCCGTGCTGAACTTTGTGACACATTTGTTGGCCTTGTCCTGCATTCATCAGAGTCCTCATGGATTGAAGCCATGCTGTTTCCTGTGCCTGCGCTCCCTTTAGTTTCGGGTCATCTGCAGATTTGGTGAGGATGCCCTTTGTGCCACCAACCCGTTGAGAAACGTGTTAGATCAGTACGTCCCACACTAACAGCCCCGGAGATAATCTGCTCGCTCCCACTGGCAGCTGAACACGAAACCATCGGTGACTACGCTTTGAGTTCCCAGTCAGATGCCGTTGTGTCACCTTTCCCCTCCTTGACTGTTATCCAGGAGAGTCAGCTGACTAAGCTGAAGATTATTCTCCTCACGTCCAGAACTTGGTCATTTTGTAGTTGCTGCAGCTCAAGCTGCCTTCTGCTGCCACATTTGCCCCCTGTTATTCGCTATTTGTGTCAAGTAGGGCGTTGTGCAGGCTCCACCTTGCAGTATTTGTGCCAGGAAATCATCACTGATGGGGTCTGTGAGTTCCCAGATTGCCTGGCAAAAGCTTTGTTGACCCCTTAGCAGCGATCCAGACTTCTGGTTGCAGTGTTTGGGAAGCTTCATCTCCTGTCTGCGCATGGTGGGGCTTTCCACAACAGCCCCCAACACATATCGCACCCTGTCCAGGCACGCACCTGGTTTCACGCGGCAGCTCTGTGCACACAACGAGCTGCTCTGCACAGCACATCTGTGACCCTTCCTCTTTGCCTGTCCCTGCGTCCGGCAGCAGCACTGCCACGCGCAGCCTGTAGCTGCCCCTGACCTGGCTGCAGACACAGCTGCCGCCCCAGACAGCCTCCCTGATCCTAGCTGCTGTGCAGCCTGTGCCTGCGTGGGCATTTCCAGCTCCCCTTCCTGCCGCCAAGCTCTTCTTTACAGCAGTGTGCAGAGACCCGAGGAGAGCCTTGCCCCTCTTCGGAACAGGAATAGGAAAGTCTCCCTCGTGGCCTTATCCTTTCTACCCATATCTATCCTCCATATCTATCCATACTTCCTTGTAAGTTAGCAGCTCTTCCTTTTAGTTTTGGAATTCCGTCTCTGCCACCTAATGAACCTACTTTAAAGCTTTTAAAACTTCCCTCGCCAGGTTAGCAAGTCTGGCTGCAAATATTTTTCCATTAATTTGGAAGAAAACTACCCATAGTACATTTACACTGAAACTGAGAAGCTGAGACCATGAGAAGATGGGGTTTGGAATCAATCCTCTGGAGTGTGCAATGGGGAGAAATGTATTTTTAAAGGGAGCTCAATAAATTTTTGTGATGAATTAGATAACTAGGAGTGACTGTCATGGGATCCCTTCCCTTCAAGCCATATATTCCTTGCTGTTAACTAGAACATTAGCTGGCTTGCTATTTTGTGCTGTCTTTTTAATCTTGAGGCAATTCAGTCATTTACTGAAAACTGGCAGTGAACTTAGAATCATAGAATCATAGAATCATAGAATGCCGAAGGTTGGAAGGGACCTCAGAGGTCATCGAGTCCAACCCCCCTGCTCACGCAGGGTCACCTAGAGCACGTGGCACAGGGCTGCATCCAAGCGGGTTTTAAAGATCTCCAAAGAAGGAGACTCCACAACCTCTCTGGGCAGCCTGTTCCAGTGCTTTGTCACCCTCACAGTGAAGAAATGCTTCCTTAAGTTCCTGTGGAACTTCCGATGCTTCAGTTTGAAGCCATTTCCTCTAGTCCTATCCCTGCCCACCACTGAAAAGAGGCCGCTTAAGACCCTTAATTCCAGGTCTGCTACTGCTATTTGTTTTTCTCCTTTAAAAACAGACACATTCCCAGAACTATGAATTTGGGCTATAGATGAAAAAAAAATATGACTTGATGTGTTGTTATGTGGTCTCTTACAGGAGATGGCCCCTTTCCAGGAATTATTGATCTGTATGGAGTAGGAGGTGGGCTCCCTGAATACAGGGCCTGCCTGCTGGCCAACCATGGCTTTGCTGTGCTGGCTCTTGCTTACTACGGCTATGAAGATCTCCCCCAAAATATGCAAGAATTCCAGCTGGAATATTTTGAAGAAGCCGTAGACTTTATGTTGAAGCACAGACAGGTCAGCTTGTTCATTGGCATTCTCCCATTACAGGCAACTCTGATCAGCTCCTGTCAAGAATACAGATGGGGCAGAGCTGCTTTGTTTAAACTTGCATCTCTCACCAAGCTGGCTTAAATAATGTGCTTCGTATGTTTTAATAGATAATAATTCGTTTAATAATCATCGTAACAGTTCTAGCAGTTACTCCAGTTCTTTCTTTGAACTGTCTAGGTAACATAGTAACACCTGGGGGGTTATATGTTGGTAATTTCAGCTCCATTCACTCTATGTCTTCACTAGGGAACTAGTTGCCTTGGGGTTTATCCAGCTTTTACAAGATTTGGGGGGTTATGCTTTGCAGAATGCCCTTGAGGACTAAATGCCTTTCTCAGCTGTGCAACACAAGATAAGCCTCAGATCCTTGGCTCTAGGAAGTCTGCCAGTGCGCATTTCTTGCTACATCTTGGATAGGCTCCCAAATGTTGTTTTCTGGGGAATGTAGTTTCTAGTAGCAGGTTGTGAGTTCAGGGGCCTTTTAAATCTGCTTGTTTTGTGACCGAGCCCTGCTGTGCTCTGCATCCGCTTCCCAACAGCCGTGCTTGACAAGAACTCAGGCTGTACAAGGAGAGCTCAGCTTTAAACTAAATACCATCCCCAGCCTTGGAGAGAGGAGCGCTGTGAGGCTTGGACTGCCTTTCCAGTCACCCATGCCCTAACCTGTGCTGCTACCTGTCTGTCTAAAAACTCCTGAAACTGACTTTTATTACTGTCTTTTTTTTTTTTCTTCCTGTGAACAGTATCCCAGCCTTTCATTAATGCTTCCACTACTCCCATACCATATCCTTTACATGTTGCAAAGTTCCAGCCATATTTCCCTCTTTCCATGCTTCAGAGTCAGTGGGTTTGAAGGATATTATGCTGGTGATAAGGTATCAAAGGTATGAAATTTTGGTGCTATCTCAGAGCCTGTTATCCTGAGGATATTGGAGCAATGGTGATATTAACTATCTTTCTTCCAGTGGCCTTAGAGGATTTCAGTCACCTATAAAATCATTTAGCATTGCTACTCTGGTTAATTTGCCCACAGAAAAGGAAATGAAATAACTTTGTAAGTTATTTTAGTCAACTTAGTAAAATAACTTAGTAAAATAACTTAGTAAGTTATTTTAAGTCAACTTAAAGTTGACTTAAAAGAGGTTTCTAATAGATTATTTTTTAAGATGTATTTTAATGAGTAAGCTACATCAAAACACTTCCTTTTCAATGTGAGTGCACCAAAGATAATGAAGAAATGAGAGCGGAGCTGATACAGAGTCCTGCCACCCCATGTTAGGATGCCTAAGCCTAATAAGTGAATCAACAACAGTGTCTGAATATAAGAAATTGCTTATGATAACTAAATGACAATATTATGGTCATTAATGAATGTGAACATTTGCCACTGAAAGAAAGCACTGGCAGCACTGAGAGCGCTCCCTTCCCTTTGCTTTCCTGAGCTGCCTCATAAGCCAAGTGAATCTGCTGCTACCTGCCTGCATGCTTTTCTTGCAAACAGAGCTGTTTGCTGCCTATGCTTCAGGGATGAGCTGGTGGCTTTGTGAGGGTGTTACTCCGATCTCGGCAGGATTTATGACCATAGGTTAAGCCTGGGCTGTGCCAGCATCTCCCCTGATGCAGGGGATGCTTAGGGCATTAGGGGCCTGTACCTGCAGTCTGGAAAGAGGCTGCTGTTAACACAGCAACGCTTTAAATTGTTTGTTTGTTTGTTTTTGTGGTGTCTCCCTCTCTCTCCTCCAGGTTAAAGGTCCAGGAATTGGGTTGCTGGGGATCTCCAAAGGAGGTGACCTGTGCATCTCCATAGCCTCCTTCCTCAAGGGCATCACGGCCACGGCCCTCATCAATGGCTCGGTGGCAAACGTGGGCGGCATGCTGCGCTACAAGGATATCACCATCCCACCCCTTGGCTTCGACCTCAAACGCTTGAAGGTCAACAAGGACGGGATCGCAGACATCTTCAACCTCCTGAACAACCCGCTAGAGGGGCCGAGCAGCCAGAGCTTTATCCCCCTGGAGAAGGCTGAGTGTACCTTCCTTTTCATCGTTGGCCAGGATGATCGCAACTGGAAAAGCGAGTTCTTTGCGGTGGAGGGGAGCAAACGTCTGCAGGCTCACGGGAAGGAGAAGCCCCAGATAATCCTTTACCCCAGGACAGGGCACTACATCGAGCCGCCCTTCTTCCCCATGTGTGCCGCTTCCCTGCATAAGCTGGTCGGCAAGCCAGTGGCATGGGGAGGGGACCCCAAGGCGCACTTCGAGGCGCAGGCAGACGCGTGGCAGCACATCCAAGCCTTTTTCCACAAGCACCTCTCCGGCACGCCGCCCGGGGCTTCCAATAAACTGTGATGTGCATTAGCTTGTTTTGCAGGTGAAGGCGATGATGTTTCGCATTCATTTCGTTAGATCACTGAGCGGGAACAAGGAGTAAGTGTAAATAAGCTTGGCCAGGTGCCCGGGAGCAGTGAGGATGTGGTGGCACGTCCTCATGGTGGTGCTGGACGTGGTGTCTCTGCTGCCCCTCATGAGGCGCCCAGCTTCATTTCTGCCCCTGTCCCTCACCCACTCCCCCGGGACCTGCTGTTATGGGATTTAGTAATGTTTTCCACCCAAAGAGAAAGCACTGGATGTTGGTATAGAGATGAATTTGCCCTGTTAATTTCTTTTAAAAAAATGTGCCTTACTAATCATAGCCAAGCAGGTGAGGCTGACAAACCTGGCTCACGCTTTCTGTGAATTACACAGGGCATGTTTATGCACTGGATTGCTTTTGATATATTCTGCCTTCTTTATTTCTTTCTGCCTTCCTAATGGATTAAAATAAGACATTAACCTCCAGAGTCTCTTGTCCCTCCGAGCTGCGCGCGGAGGCAGTTGGGACCCGGAGGCAGTTGGAGCGGAGCCGGGAGGCGGTTGGGAGCGGGAGGGCGGTTGGGGCGGGGCCAGAGGCACGGTTGGGACCGAGAGGCCGTTGGGGCGGGGCCAG